AGTAGAGGAAAATCTTCTTCGACTAGCTTATATTATATTCTTTTAAGTCGGAAATAAAGTATCTAGAAGTTAATAGATACTACTATATAGTATTATAAGCTACTTTTACGATATAAGATATATCTAGAAGTAGAGTCTTATCTAATAATTACCTACGATATAGCGTTCCTTATAGTTAAAGAGGTATTTATTATAGCTACTAGAGACCGCTCTTCTACTATCTTTCTAGCTATTATACTTATAGTTCTTACTTAAGGAACGTTTTTACTATTAAGTCTAGAATAATATCTATTATTTCTAGTCTAAAAGTAGGCTCTTACTAGCTAGGAAATAGATTAAATAGCGAGCTAAACTATATTTTAACTATCTTATTACTTAACTAGAATAATAGGAAAATTGCTTTTATAGTCGAAGTAGGCGAGGTTATTATCTATTATACTACTACTACCGATACTATAGCTATATTTATATCGGCTCGACTAGACTCTTCTACTTTTATTATCTTTAGAGCTAGCTATTAGGCACTATTTAACTATCTAGCTCTATTATATTTTCTGCCTATTATAATAACTCTTATTATAGCTCGTATCTCTACTAAGGTCTAAAGTATAGTATAAAAATTATAATTCTAAGAGCTTATAGCTACTATCGCTTTAAATATTAAAGAAGTATATATATAGGCTAATATCGTAGTTATAGCTACTATATTAAGAGCTCTACTATTTCGTTCTAAATAGATTAGGCCTAGAACGTATATCTATTATATAGGTATAAACTTAGAAAGAAAGTAGGAAACTCCTCTAGAACTATTTACCTATATATATTCGTTTTATAATTTTACTACTTAATCTAGAACTATTAGAGAATTTTAGTATATCCTAGTATCTATAGAAGTTTATATAATTAGCGATATACTTTAGAGTAATAGAGCTAGTATATAAAGTATAGTCGAGATTACTATTTTTAATAGCTCTAGAATCTCGCTATAGGACCTATTTATAGCCCGTCGCCTTACTTAAGCTATAAGTATAGCAATTATAGATATAACGCGGATTAGAGTCTATTAAGTTAGCCTAATTAGATTATATATATTCTTATAATAGGTAATAAATATACTTCTATCTCTAGTATTATACTTAATAGGATTTTAAGTCGGGCGTAATTAAACTCTTATCTTGTCTTATCTTAACTTATAACTACTATTCTCTTACTTTATACCTCTATTACTTATTTATACCTAGATATAATATAGATATACTATACTTAATCTTAGAGCAGGATCTATAAGGAACATACTAATAGATTATAAGCATAACTAATGCGATAAAAGGATCTATAGACTACTATAATCGCAATAGGTTAAAATAGGCTAGTTAGGTGCGACACCTGTCTCAAGCGATTCTGCCCGCTATCTTGCTCCAAAACATACAAAATGACCAAGGATAGAACTAGTAAGCCTAGGACATATTAATAAGAAAGACTTAAGGCAATTCGACTGAACGCGGCAGAGCAGATAATGGTTTCTGTAGGGAGGGACTCGCTGATCTCCCTATACCGGGCGTTTCGTTGCGGAGTGAAGCACTCTATAGCACCCTCGGTCCCGATAGAAGTCGCAGAATTTTAGCGGATCAAGTCCTCAACTCTGAGAGGGGAAAGGGGATTAAATTGCGCAAAGCTGGCGAGCAAGGCCTCTGACACTAAGGTTCGGGCGACAGGCGATGGATGGAAGTCTAGCGTCAGCCACCTCTGCTGCCCCTTCCGCCACTCCTTGAGTCTCCTCGCCGACCACGGTGATCTTTTTCATTTGTGTATTGGTGTTACATAGCCTCTTCTTCCGTGCTCCTCATCTCTGTCATAAGTCTTCTTCGGCGGCCTTTGCGTCCCCCTGTATCGTGCGAAGCGTGTCCTGAACGGCGGCCATATCCGGAGTGTTTTGCAAGTTCGCGATCATGTTCACGACATCCACCGGTGTAGCGTGGCTCTCAGTGCGATCGATACAACCGCGGGTCCTGAGCAGGTACTTCACGAGTTACAAGGCGTGCTCTTGGCACACTGTGGCTTGGGCGAGCCTAGGAGGCCATGATTCCACCATGAACATGAGGCGCGGGGCGACGTGATTGATACCGCAGCTTCGGACGACCTTCAAAGGTGAGTATAGCACACTGTATCTAGTGAGACGCGCAGACATAGTGTGCTAGGGACAAGTTCTCCACCCCCAACTGCCGAGATGACGCGAATCGCCGATACATGTTTGTCAGAGTCTGTGAGAGCATTTCGGAATATGAGGGAGGTGCCCGGTAAAGAGGATGTACTCATGTCAATGCCACAAACCGCGCGACCGGCAGAATTGTGGGTGAGGTTATCAGGGTTTTTTTTTCGCCGACTTTGCCGATCGTATCTTTTGGGATGCGAAGCACTCTGATTAGCATATCATGTACAATAGGTGACAAAGTGCATTCGTGGGAAAAGGATCACGTCTTACTTCTAAGCCTGTCTTAAAATGCGGATATCATAGTGACTAAAGGAACTCTCATTCGGTCTCCGCTTCGGTTTAATTCTCAAAAGACAGAGCACTGGCTGAACGCAAATCACTGTCCAATTGTGATACGCTGGAGAGCCCATAGATAGCCATTAAGTATACACAACTCCCGATTCCAGTGCGACTTCACATTAGCCAGTGTGGTTGTCCAGGGTCCCTCCTTTCCAAGCTCGAGTCACTCTTTCTCATCCTTCCCACCAACAATTTGAGGATACAACATACTTGAATTCTTGTCGACCACGATGTAGTTCTTAATGGTGACAGTTCCATTACCTAGCGCATACCTCTGCTCTTCTGTACACGTACTACCTGGGTCAAGTGAATAACAAATTTCCAGTGCCGGCTTCGGGACTTCTCGTTTCTGGCCCCGAACGCTCGGGGGCCCTTTCGTTTGGTACTTGTCATTTACTTTGAGCGTTCCCGTCGCAATGTCCCGATGCTGTAGCGCACGGTGGAAGATGCGATAAGCGGTTTCACCTTGGAATGCGGGAATCGCGTGCCCAGTATCGTAGACTACAGAGAAGGAGAAGTTTGCGTATTGTCGGACTTGTCCACCAACAGAGGAAGAGTTCGTACGAATGGGAGCGTAGCCTGCGGACTGGAACTCGGAGGTGTGGGAATAATTTACTCCAAGAGAAGAGTCTTCGCCTGCGAACCAGTTCTAGGACGGGCGATTAGTGCAAAGCAGAATGTATGGATGTGGGTCACACATACGCAGACCCAATCGCGATCGCCAGTCATGATATGCACTTTGACGCCGTGGTCGAGGAGATAGGCTAGCTTGTCAAGATGACCCGGACGAAAGTCAGACGTGTTTCGAAAAGCACGCGAGACTGCATCAGAGAATGAAGTCCAATTCAATGGCACACCGAGGTTGTCTTGCACATGTGGTTGATTGAGATAGCCTTCGAAAAACGGATCGACGTAGCGACGATCATTTTTTTTAGTAATGTCGTAAAAGCTAAAGCCAGCAGCTCTGTTGGGGAGCTGCTGCACATCCTTCAAATGGTCAGCGGCTTTCATGCTTTGATGTCAGTTGTTGAAATTCAACCCACATGATCACAAATATATCCCGCATCTGCACAGATCTGATTGACAGTGGCATTAAGCCCAACTACGTGCGGGTCGTAAAGTTGGGTCAAGTTGCCACACTGCCACATCAGATCTAGGCAACCATCCTTCTTGTGTAAGTTGTACAGCATCTGGTCTCGGATCGACTCGTTGACCAGTTTCAATCCGTATGTGTTGTTCCACACAAGTTCTGGGTACGAATAGTACATGATAGGATCTATGCACGGGCTCACGAGCAGAAGTGTGTCGAGGTCCAGCAACATCTCCTTCTCGTCGCCAGAGGAGGGACTATTACGAATTCTTTCGTTCTGCTGCTCGAAAAACTCAAAGAATGTCGGTCCGTACCGGCCACCGTAGCTCTCCGCTGCCAAATTGATCTTTCTGTGATTGGGTTGGTAATGCGGAAACTCCTGTGTCCAACTCTGCAGGAAGTGCCATGCTGCGCCAGCTGCTACAGTGGAACTGTTAGCAGTAGTCATGTTGTCGTAGTCCGACATCGTCCCGACAAGGTACGTTGAGTTTTGCTGTGGAGTCGGGTCGGTGTCGTTCAACTTGATGGCATTGGCGGCTATAAGATCCACGGTGTAATTCTGGAGGATGCTGTATGATAGACCGGCGCTCACTGGCTGGTCCAGATACAGCATGTTAGAGTCTCTGTTCCACGACCACGGGTTCAATCTCGTAGAATTTGAATCTGGGTTGATTTGGCATGGGCCATTTTCAGCAAACAGGCCAGCCATAGAAGACGAACCAGCTTAATTGCAATGTCAGCCAATTTCTGCTATGCCTGGTGAGAAGTCAACTCACGACCACCGTTGATCCATATCGTAAGAGGGGCATTTCTAGGGTCTTTCCGGCTTTCGAAAAACCAGAAGAACGTGTTGATGGGGTACGATTGATTGATGCCCAAGTCTCTCAAAGTGTCTGGAGGTAGATGGACAAAGCCGGCATAAGCCTTCACTCCTGGCGTGGTCTCACATATCGTCGTCTGCTTATAGCTAATGGATACGCTATTGCCAGCGGGTAGCTTCACGAATTCCACATCGCGAGGTGGTGCAGGAAATTGAGCGAGGCTAATCGAAGCCAAAGAGGCTGCGAAGGAGAATTTCCGCATCGCAGAGCGGAATGGCTGTAGGTTATCTGATGATGTTCCTGGATTATAAGCGTTCAAGTGGTAACCGCGCAGCTGAGGCGGAAGTGCGCAGTTTTCATCTTGCCGGTGAGACGGAATTAGTCAAGCCATGCCTGCATTGGGATATCACATCTAACAACGTTCATCGTGGACCAAAATGCATGCTTCCAACTCCTCTCAGCTCTTTGTGGTCCGCTGAATGCCGCCGATCACCTCTGTAGCCTGTGGATCACAAATACAAACACATTGCAAGTTAGGAGTAGAATTTTTGCGCCGCCGCAGCTCGATGCAAAACTTTCCGATGCCAGATACGGGTATTGCAGCTACATTTACAAGGCCTAAATCCCACCACGGAGCTAGTTCAGACAGTGATCGGGCTATGTGGCGATGGAGACTCAGTCCGCGATTGGGATTGCCAGTCCTTGGCCCTCGATACCATACAGTTCTGACAAGAATTCGAGTTCGAGAAAAACAGGTCTCGGCCAGCTCAGCACACTTGATGCGGCAAACCTGCGAAAGTGTCAGATACTGATGCAAGATCTGAATCGATCTTCCGCTGTTACCGCCGTTCAGAGGACGGTAATCAAGCTGGGACTAAGTGCCGTTGCCTTCCGCGAACCTGGTGTGGGCGCCACCCTCGCTGTAGCTGGGGCAGAGCTGGTCACGCATGGCCAGGTATCCGATCTGAATTGTCCTGAATAGGTTCGGACGGAATCACGGCTTGGTCGACTTCTGACGATCGCTCTCCTAAGACCTTCAAGTGGTGCAAGTATCACAGGGGAGTCAAACCATGGCTTGCTAGCTCGGGTATGATACAGCGCCACGGCTGGTCCGTACAGCTTGGTCAACTGCCGCATACTACTACCTGCAGTTTCTCACTTCGATCCGGAAGTGACCTCGTATACACTTGAAGCACTTATCGAAACAATTATTGAAACACTCTCAGTTCCGGATTGGTGCAGACGTTGGCCACACATGGGATATAGTCAGAGATCACTCTTAAGTAGATTCTCTAATGTAATGCCCAACTTTCAACTCAATACTATTGCGATATGCAAGCAGACCTTTTTGGCGTGTGTTGGGCTATATCGGACACGCAGTGAATGGGACGGGCGGCTTTGGCGGGAGCAGTGGTCGATGGTCGACGGCTGATAAGTTAGTCGGTGGGTGGTAGTCGTTTGGCAAGTGAGTTGGAATCACAGATCGGAGATGGAAGGATTTGCCATTACCATGTCTGCCATTCTGCACGAAGGACCATGACTTCAGTGGCCGCAAAGCCCGACTGTCTAGGACATGGTCCGACGAGACAGAGAAGAGAGTTTGGCATGTCCTGCTCCCAACAGTGACCCAGGCCCTCGCAGGGGATCGATGCTAATTATAGCACAGCCTCGCGGCAACTAGCGGTCCAAGTAGTCACTCAGACGAGTCAGGAGCGGAGCTTGGGGCGCAGCATGTGTTGAGCATAAGCATGCATACAGATCGTTCAACAAGCATGCTTAGGCTCCTCATCAAGCATCTCTACGTTCAGACAGAGGAGCGCGGAAGGTGCATAGAACGGCTATACATGGGAGTCAAGGTCTTCCATCGATATCGAACTGATCCTCGTAAGATATTATTCTCGATCATCGTCGTCTGTTTGCGAAGTATGCATCGCTTACCCTTCCGTAAAGACTGACTGCATGAAATCGAGGCGATAGTGGCCCTGCGAGCTGTGAGCTGGCAGCTGTGCGCTAGCAGCTGTGCGCTAGCAATCGGGTAACAGCCTAGTGTCCACCGGACACATGGTCCGAACAAGACCGTGTGCTTGCTGTCAGCCCTGCTCTTCCGTCCTGCATCTCTCCGAAGCATTTCGACTCCGATCTGTAATACTGCATGCTCCGGGACGATGATCACCTCATCAGGGAAACGCATCTGGAATAAGCTTCTCGGAATCCTGGGCAACACCAGACCAACGGGTCAGCCGACGGCGAACGGCACTTGTCTGTAGCCACTCGTGACCACGGTTCGCTGTTCGTACGATCGCGAACAGCCAGTTTTGGAGCTGAATTCGGGCTTCTCCGGAGGCAGTGCACAATTCTTCCGCTTCCAACGCGAAGTCCATCCCGGCGGGAGATATCGCAAAACAAGACACATTTGACCCCTCTGGATAGGACGGGAATGCAGATGGTTCACCTCCTAGGAGCCAGTGATCCTATGCCTACATCATGAAGTTTGCCTCGCTCTGTATCATGCAACAATATGGCCGGACTCGCGAGTGACCGACCGTAAGTTGCGACTTCGAACGACAGCCTCTACTATCAGGCAGACTTTACGCAGTCCGCCCTCTGCTCAGCCATGTGATATCCTCACGAGAGCATCGCCCGGCAGTTTAGCCTCAATAGCAAGTACGAAGTACGTACTCTCAAACGGCAGGGGACAGGATAGCCTGTAGGTCTGTGACCTGGCTCATCAGACAGAGTCGACTGAACTGCGTACATGTGAGTCAGAGAGTGCAGGGGACTTGATTCTGACATAGTCGTTAGGAAGCCGCGTGGACGAATAAGATGCCGGTTCTGCTGGTTGGCGAAGTGGAAAGTCTGTGTGCCCTCCCGATGGTTCTGCTGACGAGTGGATGACATCAGGGCTCTCGCATTAGGTCGACGGTAGGACCAAGTCCAAGCTGCGAATCCATGTAGCCAGAATCATCCGTCCGTATCGACCATGATAGCCTTCGCCATACACGACGATGGCTCGCATCGGCTCTCACGGAGACTTTAGCAGTCTCCCCAGGCCCTCAAAGAGTCGCACTGCTGGTTGTCGTGTCAATATGGAGATGTATCGTGATGCACCATACACAGTGTAGCTGGAGCTCAAACACGACGCCATCCTGTTATGTGAACGCTGCTCAGACTCACGCTGCAAGCCAACTCTCGAGACAATTGGCAGCCTCAACACCGCGCTTGGCTCTTGTCGCTGCTGTCGTGGCCCCAGATCCGCTCCGCGCCGTTGCTCAATCTTGTAAGGTGCGATGACACGCGGTCGTAGACCCCAGCTGTAGATGCACCGCTGTCGGGAACGTATGAGCCGACTGCCAAAAATGACGCTTATCCCTTTTTAAGCCTGCGTATAGTTACCAAAGATTGAGAGTGCTCGCTACTGTACGACATGCTCCCCCAACCTCGGTGTCCCGTGTTCGGCGGCCCCAGCCCGTTGTGAAATGGAGCTCGAACGACGCACTAGGCGTGCAGTGCAAGAGAGAGCACAAAATCTAGTGATAGATGGATGACTGGGCTGATGTGGTGTCTGCTGAAGTTTCGTGCCGCTCCAGGTAGAGCTATTCTTGGTCTGCTGACGGATCCATGTTCCAGTCGGCAAGCGAGGCAAAGGACTTGGCCTACCAGGCACCTGCCACCTTAGCCCTCCTCTTGAGTGTCCAGCCTGCTCTTGTCCTTGGTGTAACATAGGATTCGACGGCTGTAAATCTGTGTTGTTAGTGCCATCCGTGCCGCCACCCTGGCCAAGACTGTTGGACTTTCCTTACAGCCTGGTTGGGGCATTGCCTGACGGCTGGAGAGGCAAGGAAGACGCTTAGCCGTCACCTAAGAAGCCGTTCTATCCGAGCCAGCAGGTTCCGTAGACCTCTTAGTCAACTTGTGTCTTCTTACCCAAAATCTAACTTTGTGCTGATCGCGCACGTTTCCGGTAGGGATACTTTCGAATCGGTGCAAAGAACGAGCTCCACGGCCCGAGCAAGACTAGTGCTCAAGGATAGTTCCTGTCAGCTCAGCTCGTATTTCTGCGAACCACATCACAACTTTCGAACACTGCGAACAAGCCTCCTCCCTGCTTGGAGGTTCAGATCGAAGGTACGTAGCAGGCTGTCGGTTGTGCAGAGCACGTATGTCAACTGACATCCCCAAATGTTGGAAGGACACACCAAGACGGAACTGTATGTTCTATCAAGTGAGTGTCTGGGTAGCTATCTATATACCTTAGTGGTGGGCATCACTGGGCATCAATCAAACCATCCTGTAACCCCCCTGAAGCGCATCATTGGCCATAGGGGAATTATGTGCGGGCCTACTCCGAGAGTTTGCGGCACTGACCTGATGCACCCCAAGTATTCCGCGGAGTCAGCGGCCGCAACATGCGAAGATGCGCGCACTCTTCCGCGCTCTTGCTCAGGAAGAGGGCATAGAGTTTGACAATGTCTTCGATTGGACACTGCGCTTATACTTGCAGGGTAACATACAGTAGATGCGGTCCTCAGAACCGCAGTACAACAGACAGCACGCTCTACGCTCGCTCGTGCGGTGTCGTTAATCCTCTGGCGTGTCCTTCGATGGTGCGGTGAGCAACGACGGCGTAGATGTCAGCAAGTATGATGCTTACATCCCGACCTCGTCCAACACGAAGGCCATGATCGTGAACGGCTGTTTGCTCCCCATCTGCATCAAGTGCATGAACATGATACTTAATCGAGTTCAACGACAGGCTCGTGCCTGGCTTCATGAACAAAAACGGTGTCAACCACACAAATGTGGTGGTGCCTGCACGAGCCCAGCACCTGGGTCTCTGTCACATCCCCGATCACACTCGTGGGGTCCACGCGGTGCGAGAGAGCGTTCGAGACCCTTTCCATCCACCCGGACATTCTGGAGGACTCAAAGATGCTCAAGGTGGCCCACAAGGTCGTGGGTAGGTCCGCGTTCATGAACAAGACCAAGGAGCAGCTCGTATACATGGATTTGGACCAGAACAAGACCATAAGCTCGGCGAAATGCAAGGTCATGACCGTGGATATGAACGAATACGTCAACAAGGACGGGAGCAAGATGTTGTTGCCGTGACTGTTGAGTGGCTTCTTGTAGGACGACGACTCGTACACGATTACGTACGAAAGCACGACGAAGAGCACGAACCAAGTCATGAATATGGTCGCCACATCACCTCGAACATCACAACGGTAGGAATGGGACCACGTCGACAGACACGAACATGATCATAAACTAGAACGAGTACCTGGCCTCGATGCAGACGAGATCCCCAGTGTGGACCAGCGAGCTGATGATGCACCTGACGATGAACGGCTACGCGCAGGCGTCGCGGCATACATTGCCTTATGTATGTATGTTTGGATTTGCCTTCTCTCCAGTATGCTAGCACGTCGAAGCATATACCAATTATACGGTACCGGGTGGAATTCGAGAATCTATATCTTCACCTATTGCCGTGCAAGGTGCGCACAAATATCGATGTCTTGGCTCTCTGGCGAAGTCCGACGCAATCGTAATCCAAGCAATCTGCGCTACCATTGTGACCACAACGGAAAGAGAGTTGCTCTCTGCTGGAAACCCTCAAACTCTACACTCTGGCCCTCAAGATCGTTTAACCGCAAATCTCGTCTTAGCGTTGCCCTAAGGACCTCCCCAGCTGTCATCTGTCCCTATGACCTAGGTGTCTTCCCAACCGATCCGTTGGATACGTTTATCTCCCAGAACAACTGTCCGAGGATGGCATACTCTACGAAGCCAACGTTCTTGCAAGCTTCGTCAGTTGCTACTCCAGTCCCCGCACTTGCCTTGATCAAGATCAAGCAAGGCGAAACGTAGTCTAGCGAGCCAGGAGTACGCAATTGGCAAAAGGCTGCCTCGGTTAGCATTGGCTCGAGATGTGCTGCGGGTATCATGCTTACCGCAAGGGGGATCAATGTTAAGGACTCTTATTTTCCTGCCATTATCAACTACTCCTCTTTGCCTTCTACAGTACTCGACATAGACTTGTGGACATGACTGCTCTTCGGGCTGGTAGTGTTCGCCTCCTCGGTTAGCATGAGCACTATGAATGGTGAGATATATGATTACATTGATAGTCGACCTTGAGGACATGCTCCTTGCAATGCTTCACGATGCGCTGTATCGCTGAGGTCTGGCACATAATTGTTGCACTGCCAGTAAGTTCCCATGACCCTCCCTCTCATACAACTATGTATGGCTAGGATAACTTACCCTGTGCCGTGTTAACTAAGCGAGCGCTGTTCTCGTCGGGACTTGGGCACAAACGGAAGACACCGCGACTCAGGAGCGGCACGATGAGCATCCTGTACTGCCTTGAATTTGACTACTTTCTAGTGGACATGGCCTGCCCATCACGAGCCCTGTGCAAGTCGTTCAGCCTGAAGGGAGATCCACTCTTTCGCGTTGATGCCTTCTTCATCTTCATCGTCAGCTAGTGGTACACCCTCTTCTTTCAGTGTCTTGAGTCTACAGTCATCAATAGGACGCACAAAATATACGATGCCTGTTTGACACGTCCAGATTAGCTGCAGTGCGAAGCATTGGACTCATGTGGTTCGCGACGTGGAGCTTACTGTAGCGTGGCCATCGACCTTGTTCTCCCGGAGCAGGGATGACACGATGCCTGCCCGAGCACAAGACCCCATTTGTGAACTTGACCGCGGCGTCGCCCAGATTGACGATAAGACAGTTCTTCTTAGGCTTTACCCATAGCCATTCTCCTTCGGCGCCGTCGTCGTAGTCGAGATTGCCGAGAATTCGATTGGGAGAGCCGTACACCTGAAGCCCACCTAGCCTGCGCAGAGTTCATAACCAAGTTAGCATGACATCTTTCCTGTGCTCGGGTTTGAGTTCTGGGAAATTTATACCAATTCATGAGGAGGGTGATTGTTCCAAAATCCGTATGAGCCGGCGTCTGGATCTCTGGCATTTCCGCCGATTGACGAGCTGGACCTCTGATCATGCGGATGTGGTCTCCCGAGAGTGCCTCTATGCGGTGTCTCTGGTGCAGTTCGTTGGGATCGATGCCGAGCTTTGTTGCCAGGATGCCCAAGATCTGGACGCCGACTGAATGGGCAGTCTGGCAATATTCTTTCAGTAAAGTTTTGTTGTCGAGAATGGGGCGAGGCCACTGCCTTCGCATTTCCTCGTCCGATACTAGCATGTCGTTTTTCGACACGTTGAAGAATTCCGCCGTGTCGAGCGTTTTGTGCTGAGCGAAAGACTCATATCAGTACCGTCGCTCGTCATCATGCTTCAGAGTGGGAGAGCATAGGCCCACTCACTTTGTCGGTCTTGGTACGGCCGACTTCTTTGTCCCTATCCTTGGCATGAACGTCTGTTAAGCGTCGACTGTCGTATCATACCTACCCGAATATATCCTTCCCTTCGTACGGGTGTTTCAGCTTCTCCTCTAGCGGAAGCGCCATGATACTCTCGGCGACTCTTGCAATGTCATCTGCCCCACGGGAGATCGTGTCGCCTTGCTCGCAATGGCTCAGATCGAGATAGAAGAATCCACGCGATTTGCACTCCTCAAACATGCGATCGTGCTCATTATGCTCTGCATTTTGGATCTTCCGCAGAGAAATAGTTTTGAGCTCCGCGGTCTTCAAGTCGTCGTGAAATGGCGGGTAGCTCGAGGGAGTGAACTCCAAACTGCCGTCTTTGTGAGGCATGGCAGCTCTGTAAAGACAACGAGAAGAAGTTACACAATTATAGCTTCTGTTCTGCTTGCCCAATTAATGGTATATACTTTGTTCGATGACGGAAATGGCTCTAGCTATATAGTCGTGCACACCGCAATGTATTCCGCGACTGGCGCAGCAAGTTCCGCGACTCCTCAAAAGCTTATGTAGGAAGGACGTAAGACGCACTGAAGAATCTGGCACCACATTACGTTACTGTCAATCCCCGGTCGATTGTGGTCAAGGCTGGGCTATGATGTGAATTGCCGTGATCAAGTTGCACTGCCATGATCTTGTTGCTCTGCCGTGATCATGTTGAACTGCCGCGATTATGCTGAGTTACTGTAATCATGTTGCAACGCTCTAGAGCTCTATACAAAGTGCTAAGATTCGCTAAACTTGTACGACGAGATATAGTATGCCTACGAAATTATAGCCTAGTGCCGAAAGTGGCTCACGTATGGAAGCACGATTGTAGCTATATACTAAGACTAAATTCTTGATTTATAAGTAAGTTAATAGACTTTAGGCAGGAATTATATACTGCGTACTCGTACGACATATAGGCAGCCTGTTAGCGTGCT